ACACATTACTCTCCACATAATATTAGCAGCAAGGGGAAGCTGCATGTAGCTAGATATGTAGTGATCAAATGCATCTCAGTTTTCTTGTGAACTTGGTGTCCTCACCACATGCCCAAATGTAATCAACTGAAGACCCTACTGGAACACATGCAGAGGCAGAGAAACCTCCTCATTTAGTAATAAGCCTTGCATGTTATGGCCTAGATCTTGCTCCCTTTTAAGACAGCATAAAAATCCACATCCTTGGATGTAGCAGGAACAAATCTGACATGGATCTAAAGAGCATGAAAGGTACACAACAAACTTCTCCAACACAGTGGAGTTAGTCTGAAAGCTGCAAGCAGACCTGACAACACCACGTGTACTGTTTGAATAATGATAGAAGATACAGTCAATACTACTTTGTAATTACCTTTGTAATATGGCATTAGGCCCAGGAAAGCTTGTCTAACTTTTTCTCCTTTAAGAGGCTGGATATCCTCCAGATTGTCTAGCAATGGTCCTATGGAATAATACTGAGCTTCCTTGTACACTGACCTCACTCGGTCCCTGGGTGGCAGGTCACCAGACCTCAGGAAGTTCAGTATGTCTCTGCAAGAAGGGAAAAACATGATCCAATAACAAGGTTCTGCCCAAACTGTTGCAGGTGAGAAAGGAGAGGAAACACTAGATATTAATTGCTTATATGATTGAGCTAGAAATCCTTACACTTAGTCAGTAACTGAGTAAGTGTGAGTCAGATTTCCAACATATAGTTTTAAAAGCATTTGCTGTGTTCAAGTTTCCAAGTCATCATTTCACATTTTGGCTCTGATATTGTCAGAACTCATGTAAAAAAAACCAACATAACATTTTAAACTACTTCAAGGTGGAGCAACCACTTAAAGTAGAAGAGGACACAGTATTTAACAGGAAAAAGATCAGTCACTGTATTTCAAACTTTGATCTGTGACAAAATAAACTTTTCCATTTTCCTAAAAAAACACCTAGATGGACATTTTATCCCACACAGAACCAGGATTCTGGCTGGAGGGATGGTGCACTTGCAAAGGAGGTTTTCTCTTCACAGCACCAGGGCCATGCACACTTTTAGTGTATATGTATGAACAATAATGAGAGAGAGAGAACATTTCTTTGTAGTTCTGAAGCACTGTTAAGCTACAAGATTTTTACCAGGAAAAAGAATCACATTGAAAGCATTAGGCAGCAAAACTATCAAATAAAACAAGCATTTCTGCAGTCTGCACTAGAATGTCAACAAATGCATGGGGTGCTAACTTGGCTCTGTGTCCCAGCTGTATTTTGAATTCAGATTGAAAACATCACAAATGAATTGGCTTTCCAGCAAAGGTTTTCCTGAACTGTCAAATGTAAAGAAACAATTGTTTTTCAATAAATTTACTGGCTTAATCTACTTCTGTCCCACATTATGGTACAACCCAAATATGCTTTGAAAATAAATTCAGTCCTTCTCTGTTGAAAAGATCAGGGAAATATCTACAGAGGAGAAAAAAGAAATGGAAGTCAAATTGTAAAGGTTGCTTTGGGCAAAGACCTTAACCCATCAACACTGCTTACCTTTTCTAGCCATCTCACACCAATTCAAACAGAATTTTAGTGAGATCAGAGTTCAATTAAAAACAAAACAAAAGCTAAACACATAAGAAGGAATCCTGAAGGTGAAAGGACATGGCAGACCAGCAAAAATAATTAAAAGATTAAAAAAAATCAGTCTGAGGTTTGTGCTTTTTTACCAGCTAGGTTATATCCTGCCAAACACTGAAGACATTATGCTTGCAGTTAAGAAACCTAAGATACATTCCTTCCATTCCCTCTTTATCATAAACACTGTAGTATCAATTAAAAAACAGTGCTGTACAAAAAAACTTCCTATGAAAAGCAATGCCAAATACAGACTTTTAAAAATATCTTGAAAGGAGATGCTCTAGACAAGACAATGCACAAATTCAAAACGTGGCTTGTTCCTTCTTTTCCCAAATTAAAACCCTTAAGAATAAAACAAGTAGTTTTTTAATTGCAAGGTAGTCTCCTCTTGGGAGTTTGGAAGGCTCAGATCTGAGTCACGTTCACCCATAATACAAATGTGACTTAGCTAGGAGAAGAAATTTGTTAAATCAAGAATAATTTCCTTCTGTACCAACTTTTCAAGTACACTACTGAGGACATGGCACATACCCAAAGTAGGTTCCATCTCTGTCAATAAAGTATCTGCCTTCAGCATCTGTGGGAATGTAGTGTCTTCCACTGAACATGGACGCCAGCATCGTGTCCTCGTAGCGTCGGAGTGTCGACAGCCTTGTTGTAAAACACATCCCTCCCACGTTGAGTGGAACCACTTCTGGGAACTGCAGGAGGAACCACACCATCACAAATGAGCCTCTAGGCCTCTGTAGATGCACGCAGCCCAAAAGGGTCACAACTTCCAGACACAGAACACAGGCTTTGCCCCTGTGTCAGGACCTGGTATGACAGATGCTTCGTTCCTGGCCTTGAGGTTGAAGGGTTAACAGCTGGAACAGTCTGGCTGTAATCAGTTAATGTTTTTCACTTCAGTTGGATGTCTGAATCCCTCTGCTATAAAAACAGGTATTTATTAAAAGCATAAATGACTCCTCTTGGCTATTTGGGGAAAGAAAACAAAAAGCCCTTCTGACTCTTGCACACCCACACACACCCACACACACCCACAGGGAAACGCCAGCCCAGCCCTGGGACTTGCACTTGGCTGCTCCTCCAGTTCCTTTACACTGCTCTCCTACACATACCACACCATACACAGAAAACCTGTATTTACAACAGGTTCACAGCAGGCCTAAAACCTTCATATCACATCTTAGGATGCCCTGGAACCGGAATAAACACCCACTTGTGATGGAAACTGACAGACGCTCCTGAGCGACTGAAGTAAAATTCAGGAGACTTAGTTTTCTCCAACCATTTTGCTACTAACGGCAACTGAACTAGATACCCGTAAATACTGAAACCCTGCGTTCCCTGGCACCTGAGCAGGACGCGCTGCGACAACCGGACCTTGTCAGAGGATCAGCAGCAGAGCTCTTACCTGCTGAGGCAGCAGCGGCAGCGCCGGTCCTGCCTGGGTGGCAGTAGGAGTGGCCGGCTCCTGGAAATCATCCTCAGCATCCGAGCTCGACATGGCATCATCCGGGTCCCCGCTCGCTTTGCTGTGCCCCGTAACTACCACCATCCCTGAGGCTGCGGGGCGCTGGGGCAGGGCGGGCAGGGCCAGCAGGGCTGGGCAGGGCCGGGCAGGGCCTGGGCAGGGCGGGCAGGGCTG